GAGTTAGATGAGAAGATAGATACTATTCTCATGTCTGTATGAGAAATATGACACTGATGACAGGAGTCTCTTGCTTAGCTTAGCATACATACTGGAAACAGCTAGCCTGGCTCCATCCAAAGATTTAAAAAAATCAACCTACTGGCACATCTAAAGCTCACTAATCAACGTGTTATATCTTGTTTGTTAATTCTATAAATAAACAAAAATACAACAGCAACAATTTGTGGTTTTACGAGGAGTTATGTGCTAGAACAACACAGAGACTCCAGCAAGTCACCAGCCAGGCCGAGAAACAGTTTCATCATGTATCACCCAGTGAAACCACAAATCACACATGAGAGCGGTATCAATCTTCTCATCTATTCCCTAAAATGTTGGAAAATGTTGCAGGATAGTTTGATGGGGTATTTCACGTTTCCTACTCAGTCAAACAAACTCATAGGGGTTTCTATGTCTCTGTTTAGATTGAAGGTAAACTTAACAGCTTCATTTAGCTCATATTCTGAATGTCTTTGGGGAAACACACCTACAAGTCTGTCTTACTTAAGTAATGGTGTGTACTGTGTCATTTTCACTTCTTATTTAATTTATCTGTGGACACACAAAGTGTCGCCTATCCAAACTACAGATATGTATTCTTATAAAGCATCTGGGGGAGACAGTGAAATGAAACGTTACACGTAAGTAGAAAACAAAGACAAACAGACGAAGACCGACTTCAATACAAACGTGTATTGTTGGCTGTGGAGAGACTAACTAGTGACATGAGACCAGGAACACGGTCTTAACCAGCAGGAACTGAGCTACAGACAGACTGATATACAGTAACAAGAGTGAGACTAGTTCTGACTAGAAGGGTCTAGTGGTATGGATGGCCCAAGTCCACAGACAGAGTAATCACCTCAGCAGGCCTAATTCTGGAAAAGACCAGAGGACTCAGAGACCATATTTGGGGCCATCACACCTGCGAGGCAAACATTTTTATAAAGACAAAAATAAACAAAACAAACCATTGGTCAACTTGGATCAAGTTAAAATCTCTCAGTAACCTACAGCATGTACAGTGTGTGCTCGGGGAGCAGGAGCTTAACTGTCCACAATGCCCTCTTCACTGGGACGTCTCTGCTCAATTTATCTCTGATGTCTCACATGCAGAGGTGAGCTGAGCAGGAAGTCTTCCGAGGCATCATTATTCTAAAAGAAGATCTGCTTGCTGGCACCAAAGTAATGGCCCGCTCCGGAGAAATGTTTCATTAAAGGCTTATTAAAATAACTTCAACCAAATCCCCTGTGGTATGTTCTCCATGTAATTACTGCACTGTGCACTTACTAATGCCTTCAAGCCAGAGGCACACATTCCAAAGGTGCCCCCAACTCAACCCACGCTTTATTTCTACTAACTTATATGTACATAATGTTTAGAAGTTTTAAAGATTGACAATAACTTAAAATCAGGGCATACCTGTCAGTCCATCCATTAAACAAACCATCTGATACCCCAGAAATATGTATTCTGATCACTTGAACATGTGACATTTTTTAAAGTTGTAATAATTAGCCTGATTACTAACTTACACTGACAATGACTTTAATTACTAAATAGTTTCTCCCTTTGTGTCATTATTTAATTAGATCTGATTGCTCTCCTGATTATAAATGACGATGATGAGGAGGCATCACAATAATATCTAATCAGTAATAAGCTATTTTCTTTGCTTGTATGCTGTTCTTATATTCTGGCTGGTGATTATCTTTATGTTTTATTTCTGTCAACAAATCCATGAAAACACCAAAGCCAACAGTGAACTGATCTAACTAACCAGTACTTTGTGTGTAGACAAATCCTTTATTATTATTATTTATAATATATTATAAAACACTATAAACACTTCAGTGAGCAAGCCACGCTGTTGTTCCTTCATTACCATTAACATGGGCACTGTACTCTGTACTTTATTTTCCCACATTACACCATCCTGCTGCGGGAAATACTTGCTAGTGCACTAAATGAGTATTAATCCGCAACTGAAAATAGTCCCCAACAAATGCACTACTTACTCTTGTTTGAGTAATGTGTGCACAAAACTACAGTTCCCAGCTTTTATGAAATTAATGAGCCTTTAAAAAAAAATGAAACTATATGTTTGAGACCAGTTTTACAGATTTATCTCTTCAGGAGGAACAGATGAACTTGAGGCTTTGTGTAACAGACAGGCAAAGGAAGTCAGAGAGCACTGAGAGACAGATTAACTGTCCGTTGCTGCTTTTGGTATTTTCATGGGCTTTGTTGAGAATACGAAAAATGTAGAACACCATTCTTATCCTTTAATGTTTTAATATCAGAAGATGATGACAAAATTGTAAAAAAATAAACGTAAAAAACCTGTGGAATGAATATTATTAAACGTAAAATACTGGTTTGACATGTTATTGTTCAGAAATCCTTTTCCAGCATTTCAAAACAACATACACAATGATTAATCTGAGCATTTTCATTCAGTGCTGTTAGTAAAAACAATAGGCTAGTCTTCACACAGGCAGCATAGCTCTTTCACTTATCCATGAAAATAGTTACTATTTAAAGGAAATGTATGTTTAAATTTAAGTGAATTTCCAATTAAGAGTCACTTTAAAAAAATTAAAGTTGCCTCCATGAAGAAGAAAATTCAGATAAATTAATTAAATTTAACAGCTACAATAATGTAAAACTAGTTTAGAGTAACTAATTGACCAAAGTGTTGGATTATACCGCCTGTTAGTGAAACTGAGTATTCAGAAACATTCAGGTTTGAGTTCATGCCCGTTATGACCCTTCACGTTGTGTCATGTATTTTCACTCAGAGTTATGAGACAGTCATACTGACAGAAGTACATGCAGGTAGAAGTCCACAGCACGCAGAACTGGAAACCCATGCTGACTGACTGACTGCACCAGTCTAGTAGTTACCAATTGCCTGGACGGAGGCATGGATGGACTCTAGACCCATTACAAGATCTCCTCATTTGGCAAACTTCCCCAGTCTTCACTCTGGCTCTACAAATACAGAATTGAGCCAATCAGAGACCTCTCTCTCTCTCTCTCCCTCTCTCTCCCTCCCTCTCAGGGTAAATGTGGATTGGCACACTTGAGGTTTTGACCCCATTCCTTCCAAAGTGAGAATATCAACTAAATGGTTTAAAATGGCTACTCCCTTCATAACTGCATACTCTTACAAGGAAAAGGCCTACATTAAGAACTTACCATAAGCCTTTTAGGATCACAGTACAGTATGTTCTCTACAGTGCAGCTGCCTGATGGTCCTGCTGTAAATCAACCAACAGCTTCACAGTTTGTCCTCAGAGATTACAGACTTGGCTGGGCAGCAGCTGCCTCACAGCTAATGGTTATGGGTCACATTTGGACTTCCTAATGCTCCCTGACATCATTTCATCACTTGCTTTAGGCCACATTGTATTCTCAGTTTGATAACATGAGTCAGTTGAGTTTGTAAAGTCTGATGCACTCATGTTTCACCATGATATATGTCTTCCCATCCATATGTACTGCACATGGAACAATATTAAAAAGATGAGGACTCACGCAAGTCAAATTGGTGAGGTTTATTGCCAACAGCTTTTTTGAAGGTTGAATTCATCTTTAAATGTATGTTTTAAACCCCAATTGAACTGCCGATATTGGCTTATCTCAATATATCTGTATCAGTGGATGTAGAAAATGTGCAAAATGCTAAATTTCTTTAGTTTTAGTTGTATTTTTATGGTTTATTAGGTTATTTTTTAGGTTTATTCTGCAGCATGTGTTACCTTTACTCATATTTGGTTATTTTTAAACTGCAAAATATCCTGCCATGTATATTTAACACAAATAACCAAATTTGAGGAACTTTTGCCAAAAAATGCTGCATTGTATGTAAAAAACACAGTTGGCCCTCAAAATCCAGTATTGGTGGTTCTCTACAGTTCACGTCTTCTTTCTCCATTGGATGTTAATGGTTTGTCAGCAGTGGCCTGATTTTTTTCCCCAGAACTCATTAGCAGTGGCCTTTGGCTCACTAACTGACTAAATGTTGAGCAAACAAATCCAGCAATCGCACCTGCCTGCTGACACTGATTAGGTCGATACTAGACCACTGTGTGCTGCCAAACACTATTTACTATATATTTTTTGATACTTTTACATGTTTTAAGCTATAGAAATTAAAAACTATTAATTCACTTAAATAACTGCTGTAACATATTCAAGACTCACTCACTCACATATTTGGTTTATATAACATTAATGGACTGAAGTGACAGAGAGCCCTGAAACACAGCTGTGGTGTTGTGACCAGTGTTTGTTGGTGTACTGTTGAGTATGCTTTTGGTCAGGATCGTAATTGCAGCGACACTGTGTTTTTCTGCTGTAATTATGCTCCCGCTATATGAAATGCTAATTTAGGCCAGAAGTGTTTGTGTGGTCTCAGCAGTACAGACAGTGAAGCTTTTTTTGTGGGCTGCAATCTGATCTCCCCCCACTTCAACTATCACCCATCAAATCTGAGAAGACTGTGAAGAATGTGTGTGTGAAAGTGGAGAATGAAATCATTTGAAACGTTTTAGTGACACTGAAGGGGTGAAAAACATTTTTAAATGTGATAAGTAATGTGAGTAATAATAGAACTTGAATCAGTGATATTCGTTTTAGTTTTAAGGATACATCATGTGACCAGCACATGTGGTTTGATTCTGAGCACAGAATTACATTTCAATGTCATTTCTGCCACCAAAATATGGGGTCTTTATTTAATGACTCACTGGAAAATGCTGAAAATGAAGTATACATATTCTCTATTAATACAGACTTTACTCAAGTACATATATTCCTGATGAAGAGTTATTGGTTAGTGCCTGGGATTACAGATATATCAGGGTTAAAGAAAAAACACACCAGCAACTTCAATATTTATTGAAGTGTTTTCCTGACACTTAAATGTTGCTGTTGCTGGTATGTTATTTCTGCTGGCTTTAGCGTTGTATTGGTAAATCTACAGTACATCTAAGGCTACTGATCTAACACTACAGCGAGGGTTGTTTGGGTTTTTACAAACTGTACCTGCAAACAGACGCATCTGAAAGTCTATATTCTGAAAATCACAATAGTAAAGAATACACAAGCAAAGAGAGAGAAAAAATGTCAGCTGAAATCAAGAAAACAAAACAGAAGACAATAAAGCTCTGTGAAGCCAGTGAAAGAAAAATCACAAGCAATAAAACATTTACTACAGTAATACAGTATAGTCATGCAGCCAATAAATAAAATTAAAGGGCAGATAAAGTAACTCAGTTATAGCTGTTGTGATTAAAGTCGTTGGGTTCATTTTGGAGAAATAAGGTCCATCTTTTTTTGTTCTGACTTAACCCGAGTATCATTTTTAAGAATTACGTAGTGAATGACTAGAAAATACTAAACAGGAACACAGTTATGAACCTCTGTCAAAGCAGGTGTCACTTTTTGATGGAAAATCTAATTTAAGTGAAATTGAAGTACTACAATTTTTTTAGCTACTCTGTTTTTACTTTTATGTGATATACACACATTTTTACAAAATCAATCCATGTTTTTTTCTGCAATAGCCACTCAATGCATTTACATTCAGTAATTACGTTTCTATATAGTAGTTTTCAGTTAGTGGCGGAGTACGCCACTCCTGTGCTAGATTCAGTTTACCTTGACATGCAAGAGGGATTCACAATGGTTCAGCACCCCGAGTTACTTTTTATCTCACTGATACTTTACTGTTCCCTCTCCTACAGGTGTATCAGAGCCATATGAAGTTACTGCTAATGCTAACCCAACATTTCCTGCTGCTAGTTCACATTAAAAGCATTCAACTGGCAAAACAAGGGGCGGCTTTTATTTTGAAGCAGTCACAGGAATCACAAAGTATCTGTCACTGTGGTTAACACTGAATGCAGTTGTTCATCAAAGCTCTTCTTATCAGTCGATTCATTTTAAATATTAGTGGAAATATCGCAAAAAGGTGCAGTGGAAACAGACTTATCAAAACAAAATAATGTAACTGTACTAGCTGTTACCACCAGTAAACAAGGATGTCACCAAACCAGCAACGACTGAAATCTTAAGGATTATACATTTAATCTGAATCTTTGATCTGAAAAAATCACAAATGTCAACAGTTACAATGGAGAGTGAGGACAGATTACTAATGAAGTAGGAGTAGTATGAAATCATTATGTTTGCACATTAATTTCATTAAGCGCCTTACCTCCTGTAGCAGGTCAGCCTGCTCAATGGCCTTCAACACGTTCTTTTTGGACGTCTCCTGAGCTTCCCCACCCAGAAGGAACTCATCCAGAATGAAGTAAGCCTTCTCAAAGTTGAAAATAATGTCCAGCTCACAAACCTGTTGTTTAGAAATGAAAGAACACCAATTATGAAAGAATACTACTTTGAGTCCAGGTTCAACAGGTGGCATAGATACAACACATATAAAAGAATAAGCAGAAACGTACACTGCCAAAGTATTTGTCCAGCAGCTCCACATATCTGTGGATGATCTCCAGTGTGATGAGCTCGTTGTCCTGATCCTCTATGGCACAGCAGAAGTACAGACTGGCATATCTGCAACACAATGACGAGCCAGCATCACAACAGCATTTTAAAAAGAGTCTTTCATTGTGAAAACTGCAACATCAACCTGACAAAGTAATCAGAAGAAGAGCTGACTTTATGCGTTTTTATCACTTAGACAGGATCTCCAAGTGATACATACTGTCTCCCAGCTCACTGCAATAGTGCTGAGAGAGCCCTTCTCTGTTATTATTATAGATCCCTCATTTACTGTGTACAGGGTACTCATTTAAACGCCAGAAGCCGGATGCAGAAGGCTGTACGAGTTAAGCCTCATTCTGCCATAGTTCTTTATCCCTGATAATCCCTGAGGCACTCTTTAAGCATGTGATGATTGGCTAATAAAGGAGCTGGTCAGTTGATCCCTGGCAACCAGCGAGGCAGGAGGGCACACTGGACTAGGCTGTAGACTTCGACAGGAACTTGTTGGCATTATCAATTCCTGTTATTTGATCAACTGTTTTCTCTGTATTCTTGGCTGCAGTGCGTGCAAGTGAATGCAAGGCACAGCCATGCTCAAGAAACACAAAGGGTTCAGTTCAGTTCAACACAGAGAAGTGATGCAGCACTTTTACTGTAGTGGACTCATACAGGAAGAGGAAGTTAAGAGGTCAAACCTTTTAGTGCAAATGGTTACCTCTTTGTAGAGAAAGTTACCAATTTAATTTACCGCTCAGTGTTGCATTTGGCAGCCTGGCAAAGTTAAATCCTGTGTTATACATGGATTTATTAAAATTTATTGTATGTGTTTTATTGTCTGCTTTACGTGAGGCACGGAGCTACATTACTTGGAGTCACATTTTCAATATCAAAGTGATGTTACTTGGCAAAAATGTCCACCAGCAACGGATTCAGCCTTATCTGTAATCCCAGATTGATTCAGACACAGGGTCAGAGGGATACAGAACACATTCTGATCATTTGTATCGCTAAAACCCGTCTTCATTTGGACTGGCTGTATGTTCTCAAAATTCAAAATTTGCTGCTTTCCTTTGTCATAGTTGATAGTAAACGTATAGTAAGATATATTTGGATTTCTGACTGATCAGTATTTTCTGACATATCATAGACAAATTGATTTATCAATAAATGCAGGTTCACTGATAATGAAAATAATTGTGAGTTGCAGCCCTAGACATAAAGACAGGCTGTATGTTGAAACTCTTACTATAACCGTGTGCTACATTTCAACACACAGGCTGTATGTTGAAATATAATCTCATCTTTCCAGAGGCCATTTCAGCCTTTAACAGTCTCAAACAACAGCCAGTTATTGTCTTTGTTGTATTAAGATCTATTTCCAGTGGGCGCTCTAAGGCTCCGTTGGCTGCAGGGCAGACCTTGTACCCACAAATCTGACCTGACACCTTATCATTTTAATTCCTTCTCACTACAGTTAAATTGATTTCCAAGTGCCTGTGGTCCTTCACATTTCCTTAAAATCATAACAGCTTCTCATATCGAATCATGTTCTCAAATCAATTACTTGGACCTCTTTCCATTCACCTTCAGCAAAGATATTGTTCACTTTTGGCTCAGACTTATTACATCTACACTCAGTCAGCTGTACCCTCTCTCTTGACATGTGAGTAGGTGGGACACTCTCTTTAATCAGACAGGCTGAAGAGCGGAGAGCTACTCAGACCTGAGGAGAAAAATATATACAAGATATTCTGACTACTGCAGCACAGCTAGATCCAGCACTTATTTAATGACACTTTTATAGATTAATAGGATGCAATATGAGTTGTAGGCAAAAACAGACAAATAAAAACTATTAATAATTACGAAAAATGGCAGAGTAAATCCTTTAAACTATTTAAATTCAAGAGGTAAACAAACATCTGTGTTAGGGACTAGTCAGCACCTCGAGTGTTGTGTTTGTCTGTCCCTGTTAGGTCAGACGGGTTCACCGATACTCTGCCTGCCCGTCCGTTGGCACAGCAACAGGATATAATGAGGCAAAACATGCACGCTCCTTTTTTGTTGTAGTCTGAGTGCAGTCATCTCATTGATAACACTTTCTCCTGATTCTTCAACTGAACTGCGTCCATGAATGATTGCTCTATGAATTGCCCAGGGAAGTGTGAACAATTATATTCTGTGAGAGTTCAACTGGAAATCATTTTGTTCATAAACAAGTCCCGTCCCTACCCACCTTTTATACACAATCTTGAGGTCTCTCCACTCCAGAAAGCTGCACATTTTGGGCTTTCGAGCCAGGACCGTCTGCACCAACTCTCTGGTGATCTTCTTTTTCTCCTTATCAGACAAAGGCACGTACCACTTCTGAAGCCGGAGCTTGCCTTGTCGACTGAACAGAAGCATGAACTGCATCTGAAATGAAGAGATGAGAGAAAACACGAGGAGCTGTGAAACACAATGACAGACGAGAGGAAGGAGTGGGTGGTTCAAGACATCCGCAGACAAAAGGCACTCAGAGGAACACATCTTATCACTTTTTATGTGAAACTGGATGTAGATATCAAGAGTCAGACAGCTTCTGACAACTTGAGCTAAACTGAAGAAGTTAGTTAGTGTAAGACAGGAGGTGCTCAAGAAATGAACACGATACAAGACAATTTAATCAGGTCAATCTCGTGAAATCAATAAAATCCCCCAAATATAACGTTAGTTAAGTTAGTTGTTAAGCTATTTGTGTTGGTTATGGTATGTAACGTTATGTATTGTATGGTGTTAAAGATAAAGATTTCATGCTCAAATCCAGCCTGTTTGACAGAGACAACACTTCCAATGTTTATAATTCCAGACACATTGAGGCAATAACATGAGCCTGTCATTTCTACCCAAAGTATAGACCAGTTGTGTTCAGTTATAACAGATATATTCAAGACTAAATCACCATCTCTCCACCGCTGTCAACACAGCCCAACGGAAGTACCGTTAACACCGTTATTCAGCCGTTAGCGTTAGCCCGTTCAGACACCGACTAGCCTGTTTCAAATACGACATGTGGCCCAGCGTGTGTGTGTGTGTGTACATTTTAATACAACAGGAGAAATAACACACGCTCAAAACTACTCACCTTGAATAACAACACTCTACAGTATCCTCCTCAGAAGAAATGAACCACCCAACGCCACCCTGAAACACACACGGCCAGTTGGCATCAGGCTTTCTGATTGGCCAGTGGAGCGCCAATAACGTTGTTCATTGGCCAACATAGTTTCCATAGTCCCCGCCTATCGAACGCTTTAACTCAATGTGGCGGATGTGATTGGCTGGTAAATATGTCAATCACACTACATGCAGCCGGTTAGTTCCGCCCATTAAAGCATCATCATCATCAGCAGCTGAATGTTTAAATATAGGAGGAATAACGGGGAGTGGATAACTTTAACACAGCTGGAAGTAAGTGTAGGACTCTAGGTGGCAAATAGTGTTACAAATAATACAGGCACATATGTTCTGAAAGTGGGCAACACACACTCATAACAAAGGGCAGTTCTTACCATGCATACAGCATTTGGAGCCCTGGCACCCTCTTGAACTCAGGCACACGAATAACATCAGCAGGGTTTTACAGTGGACACTGGGTCACTGACTTACTACCCACTCACTCACAAATCAGCAGTTTACAGCAGTGGTTCCCAACCTTTTTCCTTAAGGGAACCCCTTTTCTATAATCCATTGAACTGACGACCCCTGACTAAGATGGATATTTCATATTATATTCAAAACAAACCCAAATAGTGAACTTGTTTAAAAGTGATGCTTGGTCATTGTTCTATTAGACAATTTACTTAATTTACTTTACATTTACATTTCTTTACAGACATGAATGAAATGCTGAGATATAGGCCTGCTGTGTGTATTTTTAGGATTGATGTCACTTTAATGTCTGCACAGTAAATATGAAGCTACAGTCAACAGCTGGTTACCTTAGCTCAGCATAAAGAGTAGAAACAGGAGGAAACAGCTAGCCTGGCTTTTGCCAAAGTTCTGAAATATTTTTGAAACTCACTAATTTCCATGTTATAACTAATTTGTTAAAATGTTATGCATTATGCCGGACTATTTCTTGGCGGGGACTTCCTGAAGCCCCTATTGGGTGCCTGGCAACTGCTCCCTAGAAATACCTGTGCACATAACCTCAATAAAAAGCAATGTGTCATGTTTACACTTTGGTTATGCTCTGTTATGTTAAACTAAACTAAGCTAAGCTAAGCTAAGCTAAGCTAAGCTTCTCCTGGTTCCAGCTTAATATTTAGCAGACAATATTCTCGTCTATCTGTTCAGATATCTTCATTTGGTGGCGTTTCCAAGCAAATATTGATATATGTAATTGTTTGTGATTTAATGAGCATATATTTCTGCCACCCCTTAAAGTCTCCAAGCCACCTTCTGGCCACCCCATGAATATTTCTCTAGATCCACTCCTGTGCGTGATGTTTTAAAATATTAAAATATTAACACTGGATCACCTGCGATTGCTGTAAATTGAATTGAGTATTCGCCTAGACAATGTCTAACATGTGACCTATGTATTGAAACACATGAGCAGGTGGTAATGTTGACAGCTGATGGCATTTAAGTCCTAAAAGAAACGCCGCTGCCATAAAGAATGATTCTCATTCTTGATTTATGAAGTGATGATATGAACCACAGGTGCAGTACAATAAGACGAGCCTAAGGGAGGTGTCTAAGGACCAGTATTAGATAAGGCCATCACAGGCCTGTGGATTACAGTAATCCTATCCACTAGTGTTGGGTATCACACACACGTTGCATTCCAGCACAACTGAAGAGGAAGATGGAGGTCACTGCTCGATGTGCTGCTGTGCTGCTCCTCTTGTTTCTGTCTCAGGGTAAGTCACTGTGCACCTGCATGAGGGATATGATTCAATCGTAATGCCCTCTGTCTGCCTTAAAAATCAGGAATATTCTCAATGTTCTGCCTTCTTTATTGTATCTTTTGAACCATGCTAGGAAAAGTGCCACACAGAAATGTTACTGCATTAAAATGTGGAGTTGACCATGTTTCATTATTTAGAGGTGTATTCATTTATTTTTTCTTCAATATTATGTGTTGTTATATTGTTATATTCTCAATTCTGGTCACATACATACAAACCATGCAGTTGTTAATCACATGGAAGTACCTACAAACAATTCACAGATTAATTTTTAATGATCCTCTTTCTTCTGTAAAATTTGGTTTTAGCTTTCCCGTTTAATTTTCCATCTGCCTCTACATTTCATGCACCTGTTGATGTGGTACAGCCCTGATCACTGTTCACTCCCAGGAGGTAAGAGCCCACTAACAAACCACTTATAAAAAAAGTCTGAAATGTGATTTTAACTCTGGATTAACTCCTTCTCGTGTCCTTCAGGAGGAAGAGGCTGCCCAGGAGGGGGCGGTTGCCCAGGACGAGGAGCTTCAGGAGGAGGACCAGGAGGAGGTGATAGAGACATGGACGCGGAACATAAAAGCTTGCACCTGTGACTGTGAATCTGCTGATTCACCCACACGTATCCCCACTGTCATCCCACCGACGTCACTGCTGCCACCACCTCAGGGTCACTCACAGAACTGCATGCCAGGTGAGGTCACATGACCTGGGTTGACTTTTAGCCCCCTGTGTGTATGTCAGATGTCTGTAATTTATTAGTACCTTTTTTTAAAAAATGATAAAAGGGATGCACATGATGTGAAGGACGATGACACAGTGGGGAACATCACACACGTGAAGATTAATGATGGGCAGTATGGCATTGTACCCCGTGGATTATTCCGGTGTCCTGTGCACTCAGAGAGCTCCAGCAGGTGTGATGGATCACACAGCTGATGGTAGCTGGCTGTGTCCTTCATGCACTCCACCTAATCTTGGCTCCGTCTCTGCCGTGGTGCACAATCACCTACTATGATCTTGACATTTTTCCACCACGTTCTTACTTACTAAGGGCTAGTAACAGTTTGGGTTAAAGAAATGAACAACTGTGAGGAAGAGGCCTGGAAGGGCAACGCTGTTAGGTAATCTCATTACCTGTGCAGGAATGTGATGAGCAGATTAGGGAGCCCGAAATAGGGCATGCCCTTCACCTAACAGCATGATACTGGGCAAAGCAGCACACATCAGATGATGTCCCGATCTTCTTCTTCCGCCTTATTAGGCACGCATTCGGAGTATCAGATCTTAGTGTAAGCTAGATCACCACGAGCAGGAAGGCTGGTCACAATACTTTATCAGTGAATAAAATCACGATGCCATTCAAGTGTTACTTGGACATTATACTGTCTGTTGTTGTTTTTCAACAATTAATGCAAATGTGACCAAATCAAGACTGAATCTCACCAGTTTCAGAGTTTCAGTTCCACAGTAAAGCGTATGTCTGTCCTCCTCAGAATGCCCTTATCACAGAGCCCTGGGCTTTGAATCTGGATCTGTGACATCAGACCAGATCAGTGCATCCAATCAGGACGAGTACACCGGCTGGTACTCCTCCTGGATGCCCAGCAAGGCTCGTCTTAACAACCAAGGCTTTGGGTACGTCATGAGAACCTAGTTCTTCTTAAATCTGTTAATGTGAATGTATCATAACAAAAGCTAATTTCCTTGTTTTTCTTAGGTGTGCATGGCTCTCCAAGTTCAACGACCAGTATCAGTGGATTCAGATTGACCTGGAGGAGGTGGGTGTGGTGTCTGGCATCCTTACCCAGGGCCGCTGCGATGCCGATGAGTGGATCACTAAGTACAGCGTCCAGTATCGCACTTTGGAAACCCTCAACTGGGTGTATTACAAAGACCAGACAGGAAACAACAGGGTAAGCATGTGAAATAGCAGTCAGTGTCTGGCTGTGGAGAGTGAACTTTGTGCCTCTTTGTGCAAGAAAACACAAGTAAATACGATTTTATTAATATGATGATAATAATAAGATGAACAATTGTCAAAAACAGTAAAAAGGACCATAAATGTGAAAGGTAGGAGTTTAGCAGCACAGTCATGACTGCTAATTCAGTTTGAATCTTTGAGTCTGTCATTGATGCTGCTACAATGTAAAACTTCCTAAAACAACCTTGAGGGTGTTGTTCACACTGCAGGCACAAATGGCCCAAATCTAAGATTTTTTTATATTTACCCCATTTAAATAAACCATAACCAATAAATAGCCTATTGCCGCTGACAGTCTTCTTCTGTTAATCATGCTTACTTTGGTCACGCTGACTCAGTGGTCCCAGCATGTGTGTGTGAAAATGAAAAAACTGTGAAAAAACTGATAAAATTGTGTTGCTGAAGGGCCGCTTTTGTTAAAGGTACCCTTCACACACGCTTGGAAGTTGGCGCCACAATGTGTGTCTGATATGATTTTTCTACAAAAAGTATAATTAACCCATTAAAATCCTTCAAAAGGCATCTACTCCTTCTACCTCATTAAAAATTACAGAATCTCTGAATATGCAAATGTTGTTCATTTCTAAAGTTTTCCTGCTGGACACAAGATGTCTCCTACTTCACTGTAAAGTCCATTCTCAGTGGATGTGCAC